TTAACCCCTGTCAAATCTGTTTTTATAAGTCTGTCTCACAATGAGAGCTTCTAAATAATCGATGTTTGTGGATTGCTATCAGCAATAAACGATTAGTTCATTGTTGAATTTAAATGTTTTTAACTTCTTCATCTAAGAGCCATTACAACTTACCATTAGTAAATGAGTCTTCCAGTTATCAAATGACGATCGGTTGAGACGTTTGTCCTTTGATCCTCTATTGTATAATAAACAAATATCATGATCAGTTGGAGGCAAGCCATTATTTGTCTGTTTAAGTGATTATTGTGACTTTATTATTGGATGTTACACCTCTGTTTTTGTTTGTTTCATAATTTGTTGTTTTTTTTATATTATTTGTTTTATATATATCAACATTAGGCTTTGCCCATAACTAGTTCTATCAGATTGTTTGGTTCTTATTGCCACTTTTAAGCATAAGAAAAAAAAAATGATACAGGGAATAAGAAAAACTTTAACGTAAAAGAGCTGATAACTACATAATCCAGCATTATATTTCAATTAATTATTCATATTATGGTAAAGCTAGATGCATAATTTTGGATCTTTGAGTGAAAAAAATGAGAGCTTATATCTAATCATTATACAATGCGTATTACTTGTTATTTAATACATATTTTGTCCTGTAAAATATTAAATATTCAGTTACTGGTTACTGATAAGAGTTAATTGATAAAACAGTGACAGTTTTATCACGTCAATGAAAAAAAAAACAAAAATTAAAATACAGAATATTTTACATTTTTTGTAAAATGACTCAATGATAGGTGTTTTTTTGCGAAATTTCATCGGTCACTTTTAATAATGAATTAATGTATTGCTATTGCTATGATAATTCTAAACATTGAAGTGTTATGTTAAAACAAATCAGCAACTTATAAGGAAATGCGCATATACTCACTGTACAAACACGTGTTAATGATATGCTGTTTCCGAACATTGCCGATTCACATCGATATTTAGTGAAGTCGAAATATACATTTCAGTTCTGAAATAATAGTCTTTCATAGTTATTTTGTGACAAGGCTTCCTTGAATATAAAACATATTCATACTACAAAGTGCTAGGTACAGATTGTACCTTTTAAGAATGTGGTGGGTTGTTCTTGCCCTGTATGTTTGTACTATGGCGATATGTGGTAAGATACTTTTAATTTACTAAATCAGTTGAAAAAATATTTTTTTTCTGTATTTTCTACTCAAGGCTTAAGATATAAAGCTGGTTGTTGCCAATGTTGGCACATATATCATGCAATTGTCATTATGTTGTATGGAAACAGAATCAAGTGACATAATTTTGTCAAAAAGGCATTTATTAACCTATTCTGACATCGTACTCACACTTCTATTAAACTGAGTTTTACTGTGCGTATTGATGTGTGTTTGTTTATTCTACATTGGGTAGAGGTACAGGGGAGGGATGAGATCTCATTAAGCATGTTTAACCCCGCCGAATGTTTGCGCCTGTCCCAAGTCAGGAGCCTCTGGCCTTTCTTAGTCTTGTATATTTTTTTTAATTTTAGTTCATTTATATGTTTCGGAGTTTAATATGACGTCCATTGTAACTGAACACATTTTTGTTTAGAGGCCAGCTGAGGTCCGCCTCCGGTTGCGGGATTTTCTCGCTGTGTTGAAGACCCATTGGTGGCCTTTGGCTGTTTTTTGCTCTTTGGTTGGGTTGCTGTCTCCTTGACACATTCCCCATTTCCATTCTCAATTTTTTTTAGCAAAGAACTACATGTATAATGTATCAGGAAAACAAGCAGCTATACCCCACTGCAGTCTGTACCATTCGGTGGGTCATTATCTGTGCATTATGTTTTGACGGTCGTCCAAACTGCCGAACACCTACGCGACAAATTCGGTAAAAGGATTTAAACGGGGGAAAATAATTATAGCAAGGTACCGTTGTTCCTAAGCAGACGTTCAACATTTTAAACCACAGTCAGAATTCATTGTGAAGAAATCAGGCAGTGATTAAAGCTTGTACTCTTGCCCTAAATTCTTTAATTTTGCCTCTACAGTGTTCAGATAAGGGGATTACAAGGGTGAAATAGCAAAATTATCAGTCTAGAAAAGACAGATGAAACCAAGGTTAAAAGGTATTGAAGAAAATACAATCAACTGTAAAAGAAATATAGTTCATGGAAAACTAAACATTTGGCAATATTTTCCCATAAGACGTAAGGACAAACGCAGGTTCTCCTGTAATACAACCATTTTCCTATTTTTTCTATTGATGACCGTCCTGTTGTTCCTGTTCATAGCATCTCATTTAGTCAGCGTATACATACGTAATTATAAGGAAATATAAATTGGTGCAATTGAAATGTAAGTAAAGCGCTGATCCAGAGTACACATTCATTCTTTTGAAAGACTGCATATGATGTCTTTATATAAAATATAATTCATTTTTTCTGAGCTATACATAATCCTTATATGGTAACATATGGTTTATCTATTTGTTGAATTAGCCTTCCGCAAGCCTTATGCAAGCTTGTTTATATTTGTTTGCCCTTCTTGTGAAATCCACCAGGTGGCACGACAATATGAAAGTTGTCAAAGTTGACCTTAATCATTCAATCATCGAAAGTGTCAAAAAATGAACAAATGTTATGTTTCAATATCAAAATAGACTGATACATGTGATACTTTCAGTTTCAGATAAGTGATTTAGTTTTTTACAGAAATGTTACACTTGCATACTACTGCTTTATTGTCTATCACATATTTCAATATAGATAAACATGATGAGCTTTCGAATAGAATAGTATTTGCGTATTAATTTAAGGAAGATCATCGGTATATGTTTCCTGAGATAGAATTTTCTTATACTTTGCCAAAATGAAGATTTTACTATGCTCTTTACAAAAATATAATAAAAAGGATGGGTCACCGTGCTATTTTTCAAGCGATGAGTCGTTGAATAAATTTGCTTAGAATGATCATGAAAAAACACATTTTTGTGCATTAAAAGAAATCTATTAGATAGAATTTTGAAATAAATTGTGAGAAGATAGGTTTTATAATATGTTTAAAGAAAATAAAAAATGATGTCACCGAACTTGTTTTCTTGCTACAAGTAAAAATTTAAAATTTCCCTATCAGTCCAGTATAAATTTTTCACCAAAAGAGTTAGATTCCCTTACATGGCTTATTGCAAAAATTGATTCTTAAACAGAAATGTTTAGTATTTTTTGAATATTTTAGATAATGCAATAAATCAGCAAGTTTTCTTCATATAATAGACAGTCTAACCAATAAAATTACACATCTGTCTACAAATTTGCAGATTTGGGCAAATAACTAGACTGATTGTGTACTGCGATAGAACAATCCAAGATGGCGGTATACCATGAATCTACCTTAATACAATATTTTTTTCCATATATATACATTTTTGCGCCTGTCCCAAGTCAGGAGCCTCTGGACTTTGTTAGTCTTGTATGTTTTTTTAATTTTAGTTCATTTATATGTTTTGGAGTTTAGTATGACGTCCATTTTCACTGAACTAGTACTCATTTTCATTTAGGGACCAGCTGAGGACCACCTCCGGGTGTGGGATTTTCTCGCTGCGTTGAAGACCCATTGGTGGCCTTGGGCTGTTTTCTGCTCTTTGGCCGGGTTGTTGTCTCTTTGACATATTCCCCATTTCCATTCTGAATTTGATGATGATATATATATGAGTTATAACGTTATGCGGAGTTAAACATTAATTCATCTGTCTTCAAAGGGACAATGATTTCCGGTTGTTTTCCTACTGCAGTTTGACGTTTATCGTCGTGTACACGACTTCCTACTCTAGTAAAAAAAGATCGTCACCATATAGCGATTAATATTAAAGTAAGAGGTAAGAGTTAAGACCATTGAACTAACCAATCAACGATCTTTATCCCTATCTACTAATTGATATATTGTAATCGTTAATGATTCCTTTGAATCGATCATTTACTTTCACTTTAATTATTCTTTGTTAAAAATCGATGTTCAAGAGTTGGTCTTTTCGTCAAGACCTTGAAATTATAAAAAAATATTACCAATCACATATTTTCGCCTGACCCATCATTGAAAGATTAAACATCAAATATATTATATTTCGACTGTTTTTGAAGTCTTATTTATAAAATAAGTCTTGTACTGTCATATATATATCGTTATTGTCACAAATTTCAGTGTAGATATTAGAAGAAAATGAGCCACTCAAACTTAAATATTTAAAAAAAATTTTGAAATCAAGAGAGGCAGTACAAGTGAAAAATAGTAAGAGGCAATCAAATATCACGAGTCGAAGAAAAAACAGACACCACCATGGTTAAATAACGATGGAAAGTTCACATAGCACTACATAGAAAACTAAATAAAATTGAGAATGGAAATGGGAAATGCGTCAAAGAGACAACAAACCGACCAAAGAGCAGAAAACAGCTCATAAAGAATTCAGAAAACGAACCCCATTAAAATCATGATAGGTCCACTGATATTTATTTTCTAGTTTGTATAAAGACGCACTCGAAACAAGAAGACGACTTTTAACAGAAAATCGTCCAACAAAATGCTTGAAGTCATACGAGTTCCAATTACAAGAGCATAAACAATATGATTATTTTTGGTCGCATGGTTTGTTGAAAATTCTAGAAAAAAGGCGAAAGATTGGAGCTACCCAGGGGACATTCCAACTCAAACGTTGAGGTAAAACTCACAACGCCATGGAAAAAAACAGACAAGTTTACCGAACAATACATGGAAAATCCAAACACAGAGCAACACAAACCTCAACTACAACATCAAAATTATTGGACCATAAGTATATTGCACATTTATTCTGCATATTCTTCAAACGTCTTAACAAATATGTTGAAGAGGTGTCAGCATTTGTCAACGACAAACCTCTTACTTCTTCACAATTTCTTGCTCACCGTATTTCGCTACTTGTTGTTGTACGTGAATATTACTTTTCACTAATTTCAATTTTTTAAAGATATGCATGGTGGAAGGATAAACCAAGTGTACCTGAAAACATTGAACAAAGGTAACATCAGAAGTGGGAATACAAATGAAATATACAATTATTATACAACGTTGACATCATTTGGACTGGAACCAACCTTAAGTGACAATCAAACCAGTTTTTGGGTAAAGTCATGTCGCGATACCTGTATCCTATTGTCCGATACAGAGAACTTAACATCAAATGTTTTCTATGAGATATGTTTTGCACAAATCAATAGAATATTGAACATCTGGCGAGGAAACGAAGACGGTACTACAAAAGAATTGGGAAATTTGTTGAAAACGTCTCTTCTCAATTGTACTGGTGGATTTTCCAACATTTGGGTCATCTGGGATCATGATCAGATTTCTATTGGAGTAGATTCTGAGATTTCTGAAGAGAAAAGTCTACTCATCGCAACTGATTATCAACCATTCAACATACGTGGAGTTGGAATAATAACAACATTCAATATTGATGGTATATGGAAACTTAACATTGAAGGTAGCTGTACTTTTAATTTACCATACGAGTGATAAAAGCCCTTTAATGTAGCACCAGAATTAAGTCATTAAGATTGCCACAATTAATGAGTTCAAAAGTTCCGAATCTGGTTAATAACACTTTTGCAGGGACATCTACGTTTATTTATTAAGAATCGGATCGGTAGAATCGTCAAATATTTGACTGTTTAATGTGTCGATTTTTTGTTTCATTCTGGTCAGTTAAAGTCACGTTTGCCATTCGTCTCTCAACAGCCATAGAATATTTTGTACTTATCATGTTAATGTTGGAGAAATATATTAAATTGTTATATTTTTGATAAATTTTGCGAAATTGCTGATTAATCATTTACCTGGAATATCACCGATCTTTATAATTGTTTGAATTAGCAAATAATTATCGATTATGTATGAACGTTTGGTCATCTAACAAACACTAATCGCTTCTTAACACGAACGTAAATAATCCAACAAAAACAAATTAAATATAAAACACACGAACATATTATACATAAGCAATCTTATCGCACCCACGATAAGGAGGAAAACTAAACTTGATCATATGAATAGAAGGCTATCGGAGTTCCATGTATTTTACGTGTCCATCACGCGTTGCAATTGTGGAGTGAAAACTATCTGATATACATGTATGATATATCTAAATTTTATTTAATGAAGGAGTAGAAAACAACTCAAACTTTTTAAGGATGTTCGCTACTCTGTTTCAAAATAACAAGCTTTTTAAAAGACTGTTATAAACTGATAGTATATAAATGAAGGAACTAAAAAAGCCAAAAAAAAAATAAGGGTCCGTGTGCTTGTTTTCGAGATATAAGCCATTAAAAATTTGGCGGGAAATGATTCTCTCTAGATATTTCATACATTGGCACCTTTTTTCTTTCAAAAACAATGAAAAAATAACAAAGATTCTATAAGATTTTCAAATATGGCTTTTTAAGCTATATGTAATAAAATTATGAAAAGAAAAGTATGGGTTAGTGGGCAAAATGTTTAATGGCACTACATGGATAAAACTAGAGGATTCCGAATATCTGGCAAAAAATCTAAAACAAAAGGAGCGAACATCCTTAAAGTTTTAAAATGTCATTCATTTGATTCCTATACATACCATCACATTGTTCAGCTTTCTCTTTTGCCGAGGAGTTTAGGCATACGTGTAATTATACTTGTACATGATCTTTGAAATCAAAATAAAGCAGTTTCAGTTTTTTAAACTGGTATTGGTATTATCAGTCATCTGAGTTTCGGAGAGAGACAAACATGTTCCTCTTAAGTAATCTATCTTGCAAAAGTAGATATATCGAAACATTCAAGGTATAATAAAGAATAAGTTGTAATAATATCCTTTGGAACATGACATATATATTCCAAAAAGTTAATTCAAAATGTATATATACCTGTATGGAACACCATACGGTGCATAAATGAGAGACTTCAATCGAATTCAAATGTACACACTATATGCATAAATGACAATCAACTGTCAATATTCACTAGACATTTATATTACAGTCATATTTGGTATACATGTACGTCAATAATGCAGCAACCAAAATGACAACCAAAATGAAGTGAAAAAGACATCAAAGGGCATTGAAAAACACAGAACAGTTCGATACTAAGGTCGCACAGTATGCTCGACTAACATTTACAAAGTTAACATTAGGATTGGTGTATCTAGTATTTAGTTGTCTCATTGGCAGTTACACCATATCTTCTAATAACTATTCATTATTCTTTTTATTACAGCAAATCCTTCAGGATATTTCTGTGGTGTGTCCAACACTAGAGCATCAATGACCCTGTTAAGTGTATCAACACAGGAGATCAGAACCTTTTGTGCTCTAGAATGTGACAGGAGCGATGATTGTCTTGGGTTCAATTACCGTACAACAGGAACAAAGAACTGTGAGATTATTGACGGAGCACAACTTGTGGTAACGGAGTCTGCTAATGATTGGAAGTTCTACTCTAAATGTTTACAGGACAAAAACATTTGTTTGTCATGTCGTGTATACTAAGTTGAGAAAGACAAAATGTTCAAAACAATTCATGTAACAGATGGACATAAGTGTTATCGATCAATATGCATGTACAAATGAAAATACTTACGTACGATTAAAAAAGTATATACATTTACACTATTTATGATAGGTGTGTGAATACCACTTTTTTACAATATAGATGTATGTTTACTATAATGAGGCTTATTCGTGTTGAACATTATTTAAGATTTATTTGATAGCTTAATTAACTTGTTGATATGCTTTTTGGAAATACACTTTTATGATACATATTTAATGTTAATGGCATGTGCTGAAGAAAAAAGCAAAACAAGTGAATAAAAGTTTTAACAAAGACAAAATAACCAATCGTCTTATTATAAAAAAAAAAAAACTCATGAAGATTTAGATTAAAAGTGAACTTAACAAAAAAAACTAAATTTGACGTTTCAGCAGTAACCAAGCAGGCACTCAACGTTGATTCAACGTTGAAACAGTGTTGTATCTCAACGTTGAAACGATGTCAAATTTATGTTGATTTTGAAAATTTTGAGAACAAGAAAAACTACAAGTAGGAATAGCTGAAATGATTGTGTGTGTCCACTTGTATAACAATAACTGTATATAATTAAAAAACCAATTGTTCAAAGAACAATTGAAGGTCTTTCCACATCAATTCTGTAAATAATTGATGAGAAGATAATTCTGGTTTACTCAAAGCTACTATTGGCGTCCAATCATAGGTTTCTTCATACTGATTCAATAAACATGGTTTCTATAGACTTTTGCCTGAAATAAGGGAGATAATTGTCAACATCCGGTTTAGAAAATGTCACTTCCGGTCTCATATGATAGCTTTATTTACACCGATTCCAAAAATATATGGTTTATATATACTTTTGCCTGTAAAAAGGGAGATAATTGGCTACTTCCGGTTTAGAAAATGTCACTTCCGGTCTCATATGATAGATTTATTTACACTGATTCCAAAAATATATAGTTTATATGTACTTTTGCCTGTAAAAAGGGAGATAATTGGCTACTTCCAGTTTAGAAAATGTCACTTTCGGTCTCATATGATAGCTTATTTACACTGATTCCAAAAATATATGGTTTATATATACTTATGCCTGTAATAATGGAGATAATATGGTACTTTCGGTTTATAAAATATCACTTCCGGTCTCAAATGATAGATTAATGTATGACCATTCAAAAAATATATGGTTTCTATGTACTTCTACAAGAAATAAGTGCAAAAATGACCACTTCCGGTTCACTCAATATCACTTCCGGTTGACATTTTTCAAGATCATATGTCACCCAACATTTTGCAAAAGATGTTATGGCTTTATCATGTACCAATATGAAGTAATAATCAATTTACCTTAAAATAAAACATGTCAGGGGCAATAACTCCAATAAGATGTCGCTGGATTGTCTCAGACCAAATGTATCATATCTTCATCACAATATAACAAACATTTTGCACTTGTTCTTTAATATATAACATTAAAAATATCGGGGGAAATGCAAAAACAAGCAAAAGACCTTAACCTCATTTTCGAAGTTAGGATCCAAGGACCTTAAATAAAAAGACTATAGGTTTATACGGCTTACAGTTTATGAGTAACAAAAACCTAACGACAAATTTATTTGATAAAGGTAGATAACTCCTATAAAATTTCATCGAATCGCTTCGATCCAAATTAGCCAAAAATTCCTGAGGATGTAACGAACAATTTGTAAAAAGAATTTTGTCGATATCTTTTTTTGTTACGAAGGAGATGCACACAGATGATAAACAGTGAATAGGGAGATAACTCTTACAAAGAAAATGGTTCGGCTTAGCAGGGTGAAATTTAAAAGCGCATAAACTATACGATACAATATGAGAAATATCTAAGCGACATATTGCGAAACAAACATTTATCGCAAGAACAAAATTTGGCGGAAGAAAAAAAAAAAAAAATAATAATAATTAAAAACCAATTGTTCAAAGAACAATTGAAGGTCTTTCCACATCAATTTTCTAAATAATTGATGAGAAGCTAACTCTGGTTTACTCAAAGCTACTATTGGCGTCCAATCATAGGTTTCTTCATACTGATTCAATAAACATATGGTTTCTATAGACTTTTGCGTGAAATAAGGGGGTAATTGTCAACTTCCGGTTTAGAAAATGTCACTTCCCGTCTCATATGATAGCTTTATTTACACTGATTCCAAAAATATATGGTTTATATATACTTTTGCCTGTAAAAAGGGAGATAATTGGCTACTTCCGGTTTAGAAAATGTCACTTCCGGTCTCATATGATAGATTTATTTACACTGATTCCAAAAATATATAGTTTATATGTACTTTTGCCTGTAAAAAGGGAGATAATTGGCTACTTCCGGTTTAGAAAATGTCACTTTCGGTCTCATATGATAGCTTATTTACACTGATTCCAAAAATATATGGTTTATATATACTTATGCCTGTAATAATGGAGATAATATGGTACTTTCGGTTTATAAAATATCACTTCCGGTCTCAAATGATAGATTAATGTATGACCATTCAAAAAATATATGGTTTCTATGTACTTCTACATGAAATAAGTGCAAAAATGACCACTTCCGGTTCACTCAATATCACTTCCGGTTGACATTTTTCAAGATCATATGTCACCCAACATTTTGCAAAAGATGTTATGGCTTTATCATGTACCAATATGAAGTAATAATCAATTTACCTTAAAATAAAACATGTCAGGGGCAATAACTCAAATAAGATGTCGCTGGATTGTCTCAGACGAAATGTATCATATCTGCATTACAATAAAGCAAACATTTTGCACTTGTTCTTTTATATATATCTTTAAAAGTGTTTGAGAAAATGCAAAAACAAGGAAAAGTCAAAATTTAGAACTTGACCTTGACCTTTGACCTTGACTTCATTTTCTAAGTTGGGACCTAGGGGCCTCATATAAAAACATTCCAGGGTTATACGGTTAAAGGTTTATGAGATAAAAAAACATACCGACAATTTTTTTTGGTAAAGGTAGATAACTCCTTTAAAATTTCATTGAATCGCTTCGATCCAAATTAGCCAAAAATTCCTGAGGATGTAACGAACAATTTAGAAAAAGAATTTTGTCGATATCTTTTTTTGTTACGAGATGCACACACTTGATAAACAGTGAATAGGGAGATAACTCTTACAAAGAAAATTGTTCGTCTAAGCAGGGTGAAATTTAAAAGCGCATAAACTGTACGATACAATATGAGAAATATCTAAGCGACATATTGCGAAACAAATATTTATCGCAAGAACAAAATTAGGCGGAAGAAAAAAAAAAAAAAATAATAATAATAATCAGAAAAAATACAATAGGTCTTTCCACAGAAAAGTGGAAAGACCTAATAATAATAATCAGAACAAATACAATAGGTCTTTCCACAGAAAAGTGGAAAGACCTAATTATCTATATGGTTATACGAGTGGACACACACCATCGTTTCATCTATTCCTACTTGTAGTTTTTCTTGTTCTATAAGCTATATAGCTATAAAATACAAATGATTCAATGAATTTGATTACACAGTTTGCATAAAAATTATGAAACACACTTTGTTCCCACCACAGCAAGCATCACTAAACAGAAAGAAGATGTTGAATAATTCTAATTAATTCTCACACGTTACAAGTTGTCCTCGTTAATCGACTGACCAAATGTTAAGCCATTGTTTAAAGTAGTATATCCCAAGAAGAGTGAAGACATTATTAGATCTAACGAGTGTGCAGGATGATCGCAATACATATAAAAATAAGTAGATGCTCCATGGCTGCTAACCAGATAACTCTCCACAAGAAAGCGAATGTCCTTGTTGATATATATATTACCCTCACACCTGAAGGCTATAATTAGTATAATCCATTACACGAATACAAATTTACTGAAGAAAAACATTAACTATAGTATAAATACAATGATATTTCTTTTGATTCTAGATTTATTTTATAAAATCATTTGTTATCTTTGTCTCTTTTGTCCCTTTTGCATGTCAACTTTCTTCCACCACCTCGAGTTCTTTCTGCGGCAGACTTCAAGCAGGAGGAGTCGTTATATAATATTTGTTTCTCAGTGACGTCTTCATACTTTTGCAGTATATTAAACCTCTTGAAAAGATAAGATGATAATAAATATTAATTGTAAGTCCTGAAAAAAATATCAAAAACTTGAGCCACCTTAAATTTGTTTCTAGATATCATCAAGAAGCAATAAAAAATAAAACCATAATGGCAAAGCACATAAAGAAATAAGCTAATCTTTAATAGAAAAAATATGAGAAATAAAAAAATACATAAATATTTACTATTGGTAGTTTTTGATATTAAATGAAGAAGCTTCTACCCGAGATTTGTTAAATTGCAGGTTTGACTTTGTAATTTATTACCCCGAAAACGCTTTACCTTTCACGTTTTTTAATTGATAACTGCACAAGTTCATTGACATTTTTCGTATGTGTGTGTTTGTTCGATTATTTTGTAATTCTTTATTTGTTATATTTCAATGTATTTCATGAGAACCTCAGGGAAGATTAGTTTTGTAACTAACTGTGTAACCCTCTTTAAATAAAGAATTATTAATTATTGTTATTATCATCATTTAATAAAGAACTGCGCCATTAGCGCATGATACGCCGTATTTAACAAGGAACACAAAAAACCTACCTTTGATGATTTTATAGATTGGAATTCCCAAAACTGAATTTTGATTTTGCACCACTTAGATTCATTTCAGCCATTGCTTTGTTTGACAAACTTCTGTAAAATAGATAATACATGTTCACGATTATGGAAGGCTGTTGTAAGTTAAAGTTCAGCGAGCGGCAGGTTAAATGCAAATCCAGGACGAGTACATGATAATGTTTTATGAATACGAAGTCTACGAATATTGTCAAGATAGTTTCCACTGTGTAAGTTCTCATTTATGTTAAACGCAATCTTGGCTACCTCCTTTATTCTGAAATCTGCTTATTCTTTTTATTGTATTATATATGATTGTCTTAACACTTCACATACATAATTGTCTTTGTAGAGAATACATTTTGTTGAATGTGTGTCTGCCTTGCATATGATAATGTTATAATTTATTAGTAAACAAATTGCTAAAAGTTTCTAATGTATATAATATTATCCTTTTGTTGTTATTGTTTACTTAACGTTGTGTCGTCTTTTTGTTTTTAATACTTCTATTTAGGTGCATGGTCATGTTGATTTTAAAGTAGTCATATTGTTACTTGGGTGGAGAGTTGTCTCATTTGCACTCATACCACATCTTCCTATATCTAAATAATTGATTGGGCGCACATGCTATGTTAACCTAATTTCTCGTATTACACATAGATCACCTGAAGATCGGATAAGGGTCAGACAGATTTGTTTTAAAAAAAGAATGACTTGTGTAGATAGGTTAATTAGGTGAAAAGTTATGAATGAACATCCTAGTTTCCTTCTCATAGCGTGAAGTACTTGTACTTTGTGGTATTATTTAACGTAA